TTTTAATCGTTTTTAAACACCGGAAATGGTGTAAAATGTATTAATAGCCCGAAAGATTTTGGGCACTTAATGCATTTTACGTTGGCCGAACACTTAACACGAATCGAAATTATTAAATTTTTTTTATTATTTCGAAAATTGACAAAACCGGACCGGGCGTGGCCCGGAGAAAGATGTATTAAGTTTGTCTTTCGGACAATTCGCTCGTTCTCGCTCCGTACTTTGTTACCTTTTCGTGGGCTTTTTGCGCGTTTAATTCGTATTTTCCTATATTTTTCGGCCGAAAGACATACTTTCCGATACTTATGGATTCTGTAACGGCGCGATCGTTCGTCGATATTAATTCTGATTGTTTGCTTTATGTTAAATTTGCGATTTTTAATATTTAAAATAATGCTTTATAAACTTACTCCCTTTCGGGTGTAAAAACTAAACCGGGGAATCCGCTGACGGAAAACGAGCGCCGAAATCGAAGACGGAAACTGGCAAAATTTTTCGGTTTTCGACCGAAACGCGGCCGTTAGAGGGTCGAGAGTTTTTGTTTTACGGCAATCGATGGATAGGGACAATTCGAATATTACGTCGGCAACTTACGGGGGGATTCGTTTTCCGTTCATACGTTCATTCGTTTGTATTTGACGGGAAGAGAGAAAGAGGGATTGGTGACGAAGTAAGATCGCACCCGTCGTTTATTTTTTCCCGGTCTTAAAACTGCGACCGCATTGGCCAATGGTTTAAATTTGTAATCTGACGGACTAATTAGGGAGAAAGGGTATTTCGGTTTCCGACAACTGGTAACGAGAGGGAATCGAAAAAGTGCAAATTTTTTCCGACGTAATATTTCGACCGCTCGGTAGACGACGAAGCGACTCGCGAATACGTCATTGGCAGACAATTAAGTCAGTTCCGAAGCGCAGTGGAAAATTTAAAACGGAGGAAGATAGTAGAAAGCGCGACACCGATTTAGACGTATTTGTAGAAGCGAGGAACCGCTTATGCAATAAATCGGATCCTTATAAAACCGTCTCGACTATGGCAGCAGAATTTTCGTGGAGAAATGGCGGGTGATAAATTATTTTCCATTCAATTGGTTTGAACGATGATATTGTTTTAGGCATTAAGTATTCTTCCGGTACCCGGAAACCGGGTTTTAGTTTTTCGGTCGTTTCTAACAACGCCATCGAACGTAAAAATGTACGTAAATAAAAATATGCAATGGCGTAATCGTCATCCACTCGGGATTTTAATTACTTTTCGGCCCGCTAGAGCGCGCCTCGGTTTCCGCGGGTGGAATTCTACGACAAAATACATAAACGGAATGCGAAATTGCCGGTCATTTTCTTTCTTTCCCAAAGATTTAGCGCATTTCCCCGACCATCCGACATTATCTTAGCTTTTGGTTTTCGGAAAAAAGACATTCTACGCCAGTGTCTTTTAGTCTTTAGTCGAAATTAAGGTTTCGAACGTAAAGAAATTAGTGTCCGATAAAGCGGCGGTAAAGCCAGAGATTTGAGAGATTAATGTTAGGCTACGTAAATCCCGAGATAGAGTCGACAAAGTGGAAAAGTTTAAAACTAACCCGGACGTTAGAGTGATTAGAGGTTAAAATAGACAATTGAAAATAGATTAGATTCGTCGGATAGAGAGAGATAAGAAGGAAAGAGATAACGTTTCTAAATACGGAATTATACGAACAAACTGTCGAGATGCGAAGTTGGAAACTCTATTAGAAATTGTTTAGGACGGACAAATATAAGAACCGAAAATGGTGTATTTGTTTAAGTAAAATAGTTTGATATTAACGAAACTGTTTGATAAGACGAGCCAAAGCGCAATTATCAAATGGCAGTAAAAGCGACGATGGGAGTCGTAGACTGACCTTTCGCCCCAGTCAGGCGAGATTAGAAAAACTTTGATTTTAAAGTCAATTAATGGATGAAAGGAGGAAAAATTAAACTTTTATTCGTCGAGATAAATTAATAATGAGAGGCAAATTCGATTTAAGTAAAAATTTATATTTCGAGACGAGAAATGGTCCGAGGGAATTACGGAATTCTTTTAATGGAAACTTAGAAGAGGCGTTATCCACGCGCCTAAAAATTAGGCCCTTAACGAGTCGAATAAATTAATTTTCGATAGGTCCAACGATGTTAACTTTTTCTCGCGCGCGGTATGAAATATAAATGATTGGAATGAAATGTTTACAGTCGACTTTCGGAACTCTGTTTTGCATATTCTGTTTCTTAGAAACACGACTGGAAGAAAAGACGGATAGAAGTTATTATAATTACGCAGCGAATACGACAATTAAGGTGGTTCGAGGTTAAGGCGAGACGGTGGCGGTGGTCGATTTTGTATGGAGATTTCTATGGCGGATAAGAATTTCGAATTTCATAAATGCTAGCGCCGCGTACGGTCGCTACGTTTAAGTGATAACTAAGAAAATAGAACTTCGAAGGTTAATTACGTTGAAAATACGTTATTCGAGCTGTGTGTCGATAATGGTCGGGCAAGTGGCAGAACTAAAGAACTCGTTGGCATTTGTGTCTCGTTTAGGATAAAGCGCAATCTATTATTTATATGTAAATATTGAGGCGATGAAATATAAGTCGACTTTTTAGATTGAGAAAAACGGGATGACGCGCCTTCGATGTTTGGGATTGACTGAAAAGGAAGGTAAATAAAAGCGATCCGATAGATGGTTTGCCGAAGAAAGTGAAACGGAATGATAATTATAGATACTCTTTTCAAAGAAATGCACGCTCGATGTTGGAAATAAGACGAAAGGTAAAACGCGACGAGTGTTTAAAAGTACGGAGAAGAAAGCCAAGTAATGATAGTTTAAACTCGCATTTAGATGCAAATAAAGATAAAATTATATAGACTTGTGTAAGAAAACAAAAGATTGGCGGTGCGCAATTTGTCCTTCTGTTACTATAACCGAATATCGAGTAATGCGCGCTAGTTTCGGTTCTCGGGAGGATTTATGGCGCGATATTGATGCGTTGGAAAATCACGTAGAGATGAAATCGCAATAAATAATCAGTATTCAACCATCTCTGCGTGATTTCCTACCGATCAATAGGGCGCGATAAGTCCTTCCGAAAGCCAAAACTTAGCGCTCGCGTATTCGGTTATAGCGATACGTTGCGTAGCTCGATTAATCATTTAAGAATTGATTAAATGAGACAGATTATGTTATCCAACAGAACCCGTAAGGACTCGTTGCCATAAACTGGGTGGATCTATATCTAGAGACGAATTAAAAACAAGTTCTTTTGGAAGGTTTTAAACTAATAAAGGTGAGCAAGAAAAAATCTTATATAAGCGAAGAATTAAATAAATATTTTAGGCCTTCTAATTACAACTACCGATGGAGAAATAACTTGCTTTTACCAAAGGTTAAGCATAGTTTTGGAAGAGATGCACCAATTTATCAACTTATATATAGTTGGAATGCCTTANGACAATAGGTACGGAGAAATTAATTTTTGAGGGTTTTACGCGCTACGAAGGACGTGACCGTTATCGACGAGATAATTCGGACAAAAGAAATACTTTCGTCGAATATTTTTTTTTTCGACACTCGGAAAAGGCCAATGGCCATAGGGTCGTATGATTAAATAAATAAATAAAAATAAAAATTAGAGACTGTTTGAAGAAAAGGACGAATCTCCGGGTTTTGACGAAATCCTATCGGCGCCGAAAGTTTGTGGGTGAAATGTGGATAAGTTTATTTAAAAATATTTAATGAAATTTGGTCTTCTGGTAGGTGCCCGGCGGAATGAGAAACACGGTGGATAGTTAGGATATATAAGAATGGGAACCCAAAAAATCCGTCAAATTATACGTAAACACGCGATTGTCTACATTAAGTGAGATATTTTTGCAATTCTATCGCGTATAACACGTTCGAAATACGAATGAAACGATCCGATATTTATGAATTACAAACTGGATTACGAGCTCGATCATATTTTCGTATTTGATTATTTAGTGTATTAAAATTACCAAGTGTGAAATTGCGTGTTTTAAATGTACTATAAAATTTGGGAAAATGTGTGCTTTTTTAATTTATTTCTACTTTCGGTATGATTTCGAACGATGAATCGTAGCTGCGTTTGACGACTTCGTATCACTAACAAAATGTTAAATATACAGATGTTAAATGCGTGATACTCTGGCGTCTAGTGTATCGGCGCGAGAGATAAGATAGGATAAAATTACATTTAAACGAGCAATTTTTTATTGTGACATCGTCACAACGCCAGGCTACAATTTTTCGCCACGATGTTCTTAAGTTTTCTAGTATCTTGTCCCTGTACATCATGTTTTCCCGCTAGCAATGGAGTCGTGCCAGTCATCCGACTCCTTTCAGGGAAAAAGTTTTTAATTGGAATAACATGGCTTCTTGTTTGCGTCGGAAGTTCACGTATAGTTAATCGGGTCTCGTACCCCTAAACTTCCGTATCTGGTCTCAACTTTAACTCAGTTCTCCGTATTAAGGAAGGGCAGACAGCGCGAATTTATAGGTCTACAATGTTTTAAAATTGCGTCCCAACGAACGAGAGGCGTTCGGCCGTACTGTATTCTTAGTCGGGCATCGTTTGCTCTATACTCTTTGCACGATCTTGCACACGATTTTTCCGACGTTCAAATACAGTAGATCCCCCTATAAAACCGTTTCCTATAGTTATGATTCCTATAAAAATTGTGGCAGTATCCGTAAACAACGGTAAAAATAACTCCTATAATACGTAAAACGTCATCGGGCAGCCGAACTACTTTCCCGCCGTCCGTAGCGCCACGCTACGGACGTTTAGGCGTAAATTGAGTTAAGTATCGTCTGTTCATATAATTATATATAAATTAGGTACTGTACATATAATTATATATTAATTATATATAAATTAGGTACTGTATATATAATTATATATTAACTTAATTTATTGTAACTTTATTATAANTTAATTGAAAACATATGCTCGCCATCTCAAAATTAGTAGTGGCTTGCCCCTGTACATCATACTTTTCCTTTATCAATAGAGTCATCTATCTGACAGCTTTCAGGGGAAAATTTTTGAATTGAAATAACGTGACTTCTGGTTTGTGTTGGATGTTTGTATATAGTTAATCAATCAGGACTTCCTGCCTCTAAGATTTCCATATCTGGTCTTGTCTTTCATCTGTCTAACTCTTTCTCGAGATTAAGGAAAGACAGACAACAGTGGGAATTTATAGGTCTACAATTTTTTCAAATTGCGGCCCAATGAAGCTTCATTATGTCGTCTTTGTGCCTGATTCTAATGTACACCCCAACTTTTAAGACCAAAACAGTTGCGCAATAGAATCAAGAAAACATGGTAAGTAAAAATTTTAAAAATTATCTGTAGTATGGTCTGATTTTAAAGCATGTTAGGTTCAAAAGCATGCATATAATTATAACAATGAAAAAAATCAGTAAATTGATTGAAAGCTAGCTTTTTCTTACACTAGTAGTAAAACATAAAGCATTTGCTTGCTTCTCAAGCAAAGCCAAAGATAACATCCAATTTTAAGCATTTTACTTGTAAATACTTAAAATTTTCCAAGTTCCTGCCTTAATGCTTCTGTAAAGGAAAAGTAAAGCATAGCAAAGAAATTGATTTATAAGGTTTTATAGCTTTGGCAAAGAAAATATTGAATGGATGACAGGATATTTGTTAGGAAGGAACAGAAAGGTGGTGTGTCATCTCCAAAAAGATTATTTTTTTTTATTTGCAATATGTATTAGGTCCTGGTTTACAAGTTGGTTTTGCCAAAGATTTGGGAGTTGATTAAAGCAGCTTGCAAGACTAAGTGCAAAGTAAGTAATACAAAAGATGTGTTTGTTTGTGCATTTTTAAATTTAGTAAATATGATGATAATATACAGATTATATAATTATAATCTGTATGAAAATTTATGTAATAAGATGTTCAGGAACTGCATGTAAATCAATCCTTCAAAGTTTAATTTGTTCAAATTTCAGACAATAGAATGTGTTTCATCCAAAGCAGATAAGTGGATTAAGTTTTTAAAGACAACAACTGAAAGCTACAGGAAACATGATGGGAACATTTTATAATGCCACGTGCAATTGGTGTGATTGACTATTTTGTATACATTTAAGAACATCGAAATCATTTCATGGAAATTTGCAACTCTGTGGTTAATATATCCATTTACTGTGATGCAAATTAGATTTTAACAAGTGTTAATGCATGGCCAGGTTCAGTTCATGACAGCAAAATATGAGAAAGTAGTGCTGAATGAGTCATGAGACATTTTCAGCATGTTCTGTTATTGGATGATTCTATTGCTCCCTGGTTATAACTAGTTAGTGCTTTTGTCAATTATCATCATCAAGCAGTGGTGTGGTCCAATAAAGTGAAGGTTCCCCAATTTATAATATAAAGTGCAAGTTGTTTCATTACACAAAGTGTCACCCTGTATTGTTTTCTGCTTTGTTTTGCATAATGTCACTAAATATTTGAATGATGATACTGATTTCCCAGAATCAAATACTCATGACCTAAATGAGGACGAAAATTCATCTGATATCGAGAGAGTCTGAAATCAGAGAAACTAGAAATTTAACCAATACACACGTTTCAGAGGAAAGTAATGTTTTACAAACTGGTTGTTGAAGATGTGGTGAATTAGTGTTTATTTTCCCTGTTGCTACATGTTATAACTTAACTTTTGCCACTTGTCCTGTTGAACAGTGTTCTTAGATTACACAAGCACCTACAGACTGTTCCTGAATAAAAGGAATAATAATAAGACAAAAAAGAGTTAGCTGGTGTACAGCAGATTGATGGATTTGTGTCTGTCTCTCAACTTCATCAGTTCTTTCTTTTTTTAATATTTTTATTACCTGTTCTACTTGCATCTCTTTCTGTTGTGCTTTCATAATTTTTTCATTGGCTGACCTTAAGATCAGGATATAGCACCAAAAAAATTCACCAGAAAATTCTAATGACAGCTTTTTGTTGCTAGCATTGCAATTTTTCCAAATGAAATCTGATATTACTTTAAGTTTGATTGTACTTTTATTTTATTTTAAGTTTGATACTTTTATTCAAATGTATGTAGCAGTAATAGATTTTATCTTACTAAATTCAAGTTTATGCTTTTCTTAAGCATAAGCTAAAGTAAATAGCTTATGCTTAAGTAAAAAAGAGTAAATAACAAAAGCTTTAACTTTAGTCATAAGACTTAATATTAGTAGAGACAATTTCCTGTGTGAACATTAGTGTATAGGAATGTGAGACCTCCTATTCCCCTTTATAATACAATCAGGCCTGGAGCATATGCATTGTTGCAAATTGTTGTTCCAGATCTCTCATATTTGTAGAGAACCTGATGTCTCACCTGGCCCTGCAATGTTCATTGGGTGACAAATTTTGAGATGGGCAGTATGGCAATACAACAAAGCTAGGGTTTCTCACAAATGTGTGCGGGCATGCAGTTGAGCATTATTTCTTTCTGTAAAATGACTGTTTTCAGCCCTGCCATAAAAGGCAATATGAGGGTGCTGGATTTCTTGGGATATTAATGGTTATCCCTCATACTATTGTTAGATGGGATTGATTGTTATATGAGCCGGCATATTGGCTTCTCAGGCCAGCATGCCAACAATGAGTGTGTGTTGCTCAACAGTAAAGGCAGAATTGAAATAGACCTCTACGTAATACGTGCTGATTGTTCTCAAATGATATCAGGATTCATCATCAAAGACAATACAATTCCAGTGTGTAGCAAACCATGCTTCTGTCATCGCACCACTGCAAACCTGTCATGTCCATCAAATGAAACCAACAGTGTTTTGTTGACATTAGCAGTCATTGTGCATGCAAATTTTCCTCTTCTGGTTGCCTACCAATGGTTTGAGAAGAGAGAGTAGTATATAATGGAGGCTTCCACCTGTCTCCGAATGGTAGACAAAGATCTTATTGCAGCAGTTTGCATTTATCTCAATATTAGATAATCGACTCTGGCACCCCACATAGATACCAGAGAGATATCATCGTGTATATCTCTCTGGTATCTATGGCTAATATCCTATTTATCAAATCGTACGTACTATGTTAAGGTAAAAAATTCAATATCAAAACCATTTCGAGTTAACAAAGGTGTACCACAAGGATCCGTTTTGGGCCCTTTACTTTTTAATATTTATATAAATGATATTGTAGAGACTATTCCTGAGAATAATATTATATTGTATGCAGATGATATTGTTATAACATATGCAGATTGGAATATTCATTTGGTTGAAAATAATATAAACTCTTTGTTATCTAAATTAAGTAAGTATATGGAAAATAATAACTTAAGAGTAAATGAAAATAAAACAAATTATATTTGTTTATCAAATAAAAACAAAAAAGTGAATTTAGAAGATATACAAGTAAGAATAAATAATGAACGTATTCAAAGAGTTAATACTGTAAAATATTTAGGAATCGAAATTGATGATAAGTTACGATGGAACAATCATATAAATAATTTAACACTGTCTTTATCTAGATATATTGGAATACTGAAAAGAATAATGAGTTTTTTAAATTGTGAGACTGTTTTGCGCTTGTATCACGCTTGCATGGAACCTAAACTTCGATATGGTATTTCTGTATGGGGTACAGCTTCTTCTTTTGTATTGAATAGATTGCAAGTTATACAAAATAACTTTATAAGAGCATTATATAAGTTGCCTTATGATTCCTCTGTCACTTCTTTTTATAACCAGATCAAAATTGATAAAATAAAAACTTTATATAAAAAACAAGTTCTTTTGGAAGGTTTTAAACTAATAAAGGTGAGCAAGAAAAAATCTTATATAAGCGAAGAATTAAATAAATATTTTAGGCCTTCTAATTACAACTACCGATGGAGAAATAACTTGCTTTTACCAAAGGTTAAGCATAGTTTTGGAAGAGATGCACCAATTTATCAACTTATATATAGTTGGAATGCCTTAAAAGAAGATTATAAAGAATTGTGTACTTACGGACAATTTAAACGGGCTGTGAAAAAATTGATATGTGATTAGTTGAGTGTATTTTTTTTTGTTTTGATGTTATTGTATTTTTCTTTTCTGTTCTTTTTTGTTGTTTTGTTGATTGTATACTTGGTAAAAGTCTGTATCATTAATTTTTCTTTTGACCCTTGAAAAAGGCCAATGGCCATAGGGTCGTATGATTAAATAAATAAATAAAATAAAAAAATAAAATAAAATATATGTGCACTTGCATACCCACTGACCCAAACACGCTCACAATCGAGTCGGAATAGCCCATATGGCAGGCAATTTGGCCATCCTGCTTTCCTCGGTCCAATGATGGGACCTTTTTCAAATTCTACTAGCTATGTGTAATGTTTTTGACTGCATTGTACAGGTATGCCTCGCATTTGAAGACCTCCAAACAGTATGTGACACATTCTAAATTCTGTAATTCTTTGGAAACCTTTGCTTAGAATGCCAAAATGGAAATTTTAAGGTAATCGTGGCATTAATCATTTACAAACCTAGCTGCTGAGTTTTGCAGTGATTGGATAATTCTGTGGGTGTGTAACTTTCTTTTGTAAATGTATTGCACAAATTCTTGTTTACAGGCACTCTTCTGGATAAATCAAGCTTGAACATTAAGTCAACACTAATTATAATATTCTTATCAACTGTCCATTTTCTATATATGGGGCCAAGTATAAAATGCCAGAGAACATGCTATACAGTCGACCCCCCATAACATGGTAGATACGTTCCGTTCTTTATGAATCCATTTTGTACGAGTCCTTGCCAATCACAGCCTGGCACGTATGCACTTTACGGACTACGGCTGTTTGAAAGGTTTTCTTCCATAAAATTAATCGATTCCTAGACTAATTCAACTCAACATTTCCAAAATATGTATATTTTTTTGGGAATAATCTGTATAAACTATGCTATAAACTAAAAATTGTAGGATTACTTACTGAGTGTGCACCATTAGACGTCGTCATTGCTTAAGCTTGTTTTTGTCGCGGAGCAGCGCACCAAACGGCGGCTGCGATTTCTGATAAGTTATTTTTCTGCGAAAACTTTGTTCAACTTTGGAGACATCATTAATATAAATAATTTTTATGGCTGTTGAATAAGAAATGTATAAAATTAGTGCCGTATTAGACTTACGGTACCTAATTTACATACTGTACAGACGATAGTAAACTCTCCGTAGCGTGGCGCTGGATGGTGGAAAGTATATACAGCAGAGCCTCGATTATCCGACTCAATTGGGGACTGGGGTTGGTCGGATAATTGAAAAGTCGGATAACCGAAAAGTATGAAAAAATCCATTATTAGTGTAGTATATTATTATATCCCATATAATTAGTATATTAGTATATCGCTATTAACCTACTTCGCGTTGAATTTTCCTCCGTGTTAAGCCTAACAAAAATTTCTTAAAATAATAATCGTCACTATTGTATCGTTAAAAATTTGAAAATTAAGCCTCGTTTAAATACTGGTTTCCTTTCATGGTCGAATGAGTGTTGCCAGTTAAAACACAAAAATAATATTAAAGTAGCCAAGACATAGCCAAATATTGTAGCGCCACATCACTAGCGGATATTTGAAATTTGCCGACTAGGACGGTCGGTTAACCGAGGTGTCGGTTAATCGAGGCTCTACTGTATATATAATTATAATAAAGTTACAATAAATTAAGTTAATATATAATTATATGTAAAGTACGTAATTTATATATAATACTGTACAGACAATAGTAAACTCAATTTATCCGCCTAAACTTTCCACAGCATGGTGCTGGACAGCAGAAAGTAGTTCGGCTGCCCGATGACGTTTTACCGAATTATAGGAGTTTTTTACCATGTTTGTACGGATACTGTCGCAATTTTTTCGCCGTCATATAGGAATCCGAACTATAGGGGGGGGTTGACTGTATTATGTAAGGTACTGGGTATTAATTCCTTCTAAAAAATTGTCCAAGCAAACCAGTAATATTTGTTTGCAATAATTAATACCACTAAGTTCAAGTTTATTTGATCACACATCATGTACAAGTAAATCTTATCTAAGGCAATTTTTGATCAAATTTGCACCAATAAACAACAAAACAGTCATTTCACTTTGGTATATCCAACCTTAATTGCATTTTTTCTTTATTGACTATTTTACTTGATAATGTTTACATTAATTTTGACAAACCTTTTGAATGAAAAAATTAATTTAAAATGGCTTAAGTTTGAATTTTTAAAAAAGAAAAACTAAATGAAACCATAATTTTAATGGATGATACAGAATACAAAGTAATTGACTCTTGATGATTGACTGCAGTTTTTATTTACTAAGAAAGATAAAGTACAATCAACTTTCCATTATTTTAATAGCATATAAAGTCTTCCTTCCCAGAACAAAGATGCAATTTTTACTCGCCTGAAAACCTAAAATCCCAGCACAGTTCTCCAAATTGACAACGTATTGCTTGGCAATGTGCGATATTTCCTTTCCCGTCTTACGGTTTCGCAATTCTATGGAGGAACTGAGACTTTCCGGCTGCCTGTAAATGTAAACATGTCTGATGCTGTCACAGACTGCGGCAAAGCTAAAGTCCTGCGATCCGGAAATGAACTTCCTATCTTGCTTGGATGCCACAACGTATCCTAGAGCCGGATACGTGGCGATGTGTTCTAACTTGAAATGTTCGTCCTCTCCTTCACTGACAATGTTCTTTGGTTGCCAGACGAGACCATCGACGTCATAACGAAGACACAACACTGGCAAAGATTCCGTCGAGTGTGTGGTGTTGAAGAGCCATTGACGTCCACTTAGATTAATCTGAAAAATGATTTTGGAATTCAGAGTAAAACAATGATATTAAAAATATAGTCAAACAACAAAAATTATAATAGTAGTGCAGAATGGAAATATCTTATCTTCAACTAAACTCCCCAAGAGTACATTTCAAATAGACAAGGAATTGAAAAAAAAATTACATATTGTGCTGTAATTATAGACCTTTAAAAATCCTACACTAGGAGTGTCACAAACTGATGTAATGGCCAACTTTTGGTTATACCACTGCACTTGGGAACCACAAATTCAATAATAATACAGCCTGTGGTAGGCCAAGTGTCCGGTTAGAGAGAAAAGTATTAACTGCAAATTATATGATCTAGAACACAGATGTCCTTCAACTTATTTTTAAATAATCTTGTCAGGGCATTTTACTACTATAAAAAAGTACCAAAGGTATCTTCACCTTGACATAACAATAGATCTTAGTTGGCCCTACCAGTAGCAGTCTCAATGATTGATAGACAGGTAATGAGCAATCAAAGTAAGATAACTCCCAACTTGAAAGAACAGGATAAGCTTCCTATTAAGAAACTAAGGCAGAGATGCTTGTCCTTTAAATCAGGCAGAAAATAACATCTATCCGGTATGTTCCAGCAACCAAAAACAGTACTAAGAGAGGAAAAGAAGGAAAGATACATTTTACTGTATAATGGAATTATACAAGAACCTGAGGACATCCAATTCCTGATTTTCATTTGTAAGTTCATAAACAAAAGGATTTAAAATTGGAGATTGTTTTGATACTACCCTGACTTTTAATCCAGATGGATGGGCTTTTTTTGGTAATGTTAGAATTTACTGGTTTCTTGTGTATCTGGCAGGAATCTGCTGAAAACAATAATAATTGTTGTTATAGTGAAACATAATATGCTAAAACTGCAATGCCATATCCAGAGGAGCCTAATTTTTTTTGAAACAATTGTGTTAATTACATTCTATAATGTAGATAAACCATTTTATTTGATAGAAAGTACAATGTCATGTCCTAACCCTCAACAATGACATAAGCTGGAAACTTTGATGCTTTCAGTTTATTCTACAAAGGAGTCTGGAAAATGTTTATAGCTGGTTAAAAAGTACAAGTGCAAAGAGGAATTTTTGATAACACTTGAAAATCTAGTTAATTTGGGTTAGTACAGGGGTCGGCAACCTTTTGAGTCGGAAGAGCCAAAATTACAATTTACAAAATTTCAAAGTTTTTAAAGAGCCACAAAATTTTTTCTTGCCAACAATAAATAGTACTCGCATAAATAAAGTTTTTTGATAAAAACTAATCTATTTATTCATATATAAGTATTGTTTTTCACAACAAATTAGATAATAGAAACATCCGACGACGCGTGTCACGGGGAGGGGTGCGGTGAAAAGCGAGTACAAGTGGCTGAGAGATAGAATCGGTGCCTAATCCTCGTTAATTAATTTAATCAATTCAGAACGATTTTTAAATTTTTTTTTTTTGATAAAATAAATATTTGCAGGTTGCCGACCCCTGGGTTAGTATACTTATTTTGTCCTTATCATTAACCTATCCCATGTTCAAATTTTTCTCTGTTGTGTGTGGCCGCCATGTTGAATTTTTGTCAATGTTAATCCTAATGAAAAAATTCTTTTTTGTTTT